TCTTTTGAGTGATTATAAATTCAACAGCCCCAAAAGGCTATTTTATACTTTCTGATGTCATTTTTTTAGAAAAATAATTTACTCATTCATTTTAAACTTGATTTTCTCAAAATTTATAGAACATTAGTGTAATCGCTAGTGAGAAATGCCCATTAAAGCATTAGTCATAACTTTAGAGAAATTTCAAATGTTCTTTCCCACGCAAACTAAAATGTTCAGTTTATAAAAACCTGTCAGAAGGACCTACATGACCACAAAGTGGTCATTTAAATACAAAGTCGTTATTTAACCCTAAAAATCTTACTTTAGATAATTCCCATTTTCTATGCAAGTGAACTTTATTAACATTGATGTAAAGAAAAAGCTTGCCCACCATCGCAGCTGTTGCTAAGCATGTTTTCTCTTAATGTCTAAGGCTGAAACACAGCATTTGTATTAAGCAGTGAAGTCTCAACTCTGCTCTATCTCCTGATACTATGAATTCTTTCACTTGAACTCCTTAAAAGACTTGATCTTTGTGCCACATGCCAGTAATGCCAGCTAGTTGGGAAGCCGGAGCAGAAGGACTGGAAGTTTGAGGCTAGCCTAGGTAATTCAGTGAGACCCTGTTTCAAACAAAAGGGCTGGGGATATGCGCTTGCCTAAATTGCAGGAGGCATTGGGTTCAATTCCTAGCACCATAACACAAACTCATTCTGATTTCTTAAATGTAAAAAAGAATATATAGAATATAGAATACATATAATATAGAATAACATTTGAACAACTAAGTCTGTTGAATTCTACTCTGAACCACACAAATGTTTAGAGAAAAATATCAATTATCATGTGGGCACAGTGGCACGTGGCTGTAATTCTAGCATTCTTGAAGGCTGAGGCAGAAGATGAAAAGTTTGAGGGCAGGGGATTTAGCCCAATTTAGCCTCTTGCCTACATGTACAATGTCCCAAGTTCAATCCCCATACTAAAAAAAAAAAAAAAAAATTTGAGCCTAGCCGGACAGTTCAGTAAGATCTTATCACAAAATAAAAATAAAAAAAGGGATGGGGACTCAGCTCACACCAAAGGCCCTAAGTTCAGTCCCTAGCACTAGAAAACAAAAACAACTACCAACTGTCTATAACCTAATCCAAATATATCTTTTGTTACAATGACAGCAGCTAATTTTCCTTTATAATCCTAGAGGAATTTCTTCACTGGAGAAACTAGCTGGCCTACATTTCTATTAAGAAACAACTAAGTGATGATACTTTTTGAAATTACATCTATCTTAGAAGTGGCAACAGCCGGGGATTTAGCTCAGTGGTGTTGCTGCCTGCCTCGCCAGCGCAAGGTCAGAGAGTTTAATTCCTGGTACCAAAAGAAAACCAAACAAACAAACAAAAAAAACTTCCCAAATCCCAACCTTTAATTTTAGTATGAGAGGTTCTGGATATAATACACTAAGTACAATAACTAGGACATAATTCCTAAAAAACAAAAAGTTGTCTGCTTTCAGCATATTATCAACATACTATGGTGAGAGGCACAGGGTTAAGTTATAGCATTCTAGTTCAAATGGGGAAATATAAGAGGAAAGAGAGCTAGCTGTATGTCCAAAGTAACTTCAAAATACAGGCAAATACCATTCCATTTCACAGCCTGGGGGGGAAAAATACTCTAGAGGCTTTAAACTTTCTCCTCCCAGCTCTTAGTTCCACCTTTGAGTCACTTTTTCTTTCTTTTTTTTTTTTTTTAAAGCAACACAATTACATGCAAGTAGTTTTCTCAGCTTGCTTCCTGTTAGTAGAATTTGGGAGGGCCCAATAGCCCTATTTAATTTCTTATTTTCTGTCTCTCTCCATCACAGCTAGCACTGTTTCTGCTGGTATAAAATAGCCAAGAACCCAGTGGGCTTGGCAAGAATTTCACAAGGGTTCACTCCCTCAGAAAGATGTCCAGAAATAAAACAGGTTGCACCTTCAACATTATCCTTGAAAAATCTTTTCAGCTAAAAATTAAATTACTCACAAATTCTGCTAAGTGTATTTGCCACTATGTAACAAGAATCCCCTATCTGCCTGTTTCCAGTAACAAGTACCCCACTTCTATCTGAGCAGAGTCATTAACTTCCAAATTTCTACTAACAATCTGTTCTGGGTCTCTTCTATCATGCTCAAATTTCTTTCAGCCTCCACCCACTGCTACTTCCATTTTTAGGTAACGGGACCCCCCTCCGGCACTGAGGTCTATACTAGTTTCACTGCTGCCGTGACAAATTACCACGAATTTGTGATGATATCACAAATTTATTATCTCGTTTTCTACAGGTTTTAAATTGGGAAGACTCAGCTAGACCTGCTGCTTGAAGTAGTAAGGACAAAAGGAAGCCATGTGCAAAGATATATTCTTTGCTGGAAACTGGAGGAAGAAATCTACTTTCAAGTTCATTCAAGTTGTTGGCCAAATTGAGTTCCTTGTGGCTGTAGGACTGAGGTCTCTATTTCCTTGCTGCCTGTCGGTTAGTTACTAGAGGCTGCCCAAACTCTTTTTCATACTTTCTGTGCAGCCCTTTCTAACACCAGCAAATTTAGTCCTCACATTTCAAATCTAACTTCTTTGCCCATCCCTAATTCCTGCCACTTGACTTTTAAGGGCTTATGATTAGATTGAGTCTACACAGAAAATGTATGATAATTTCTGTATTTTAAGATTCTTAACTTTAATTATACTTGCAAAGTTCCTTTTCCATGTAACATTACATTACTTATAGACTAGGGGAATTACAGTATGGACATCATGGGGGGTTTTGTGTCATTCTGCCTACTCCTACTGCAAACCCAAACCCCACATAAAGCTTTTGAACTTCCTGAACTTTCTCAATCCTCCTGCCTCAGACTCCTCTCTAAGATTATGGAAGGACTACAGGCGTGTGCATTATGCCTAGCTTCCCTTTTCTTTAAGAGTGTGTGGAATAGAGGCAAGAAAATTTCAAATTAAAGCCCAGCCTTACCTACACAGCAATCCCCTGCCTCCCAAAAAACTCCAAAACAACAAGCCAGGCATGATGGAGAATGGCTGTGATCCCAGCACTTTTTGTGTTCAAGGCCAGCCTGGACTGCATAGTGAGTTGAACACTAGCCTGAACTACACAGTAAGACCCTGTTTAACAACAACAACAAAGTAGTATTTTTAAAAAAGCAAAACTTCATCCTTGGAAGAGTGGGTGGTCAGCAGTGCAATGAAAAGTGCACTGTGGAAAACCTGCCAGTTGCTACACGTTTCATCCTCAAATAACAAAGCAATTCTCCCCAAATCAGAAACTAAACCGTGATCAGCTTAAATGTGTGCTTCTTCTTTCCTACTTTCCACGGAAGAGGATATAACTGGGCCTGCCCGGTGTGTTTTCTTTTTTTACGGAAAACTGCCACAAGGTAACACAAACTTTGTAACCTAAGTAAGAATCCAATCTTTTCCTTCTTTCAAGTCACATACACTCCTCCAATAGTAAATGAAAAGCAAGAATCTCAAAGTCACAGAAGGACAAACCTGCCCTGGAAAGACCACAGCAAGTAAACTTTTTTAAAAATGGCATAGAGAACTAGTATTGGTCCTGGAATTTCAGCCTCAGGTCTTACCAAGCCAGTTAAGTCAAATGATCTTCAATTAGTTACAAATATATGAATCCAGATTCTTGGCCAAAAAACTACCTACACCAGAAGAACCCCAAATATACCAGCTCCTCCCTTTAATAATAATGACAGGTAAAATCTCCTGAGCACTTCCTGCCAGGCACTATGGTAAGCTCTTGATACAAATTATTTAATTACTCCCTGCCATAAACTTACGAGCTAAGAAATATCATTACCCACATTTCACGAATAGTTTAAGTCACACAGCTTAGTAGTGGCCCCGATATTTGAGAACCTAGTAAGTCAAATTCTTAACTATTAGCCTACACAGCCACACCTTAGATGGAATGAGGGCTCTAGCTCTTGGAAAAATCCTACCTTTCTAATTTTATTTTCTTTTTTTTAACATGATTAACTTATTCATTTATTCTACTGGGCTAACTTTATTTTCATATCCTCTCCTCAAGCACCCTTTTCATGGAATTTAGCAGTTGGAAAGTAATCGAGCTTGCCCAAGTAACTTGTCACCTCATTTTCAGAACTCTTTCCTCACCCACGAAAGCAAAAGCCAAGAAGCAATTCTGACTCTGACTTTTGTTTCCTATAGTCTAACAAACTATAGAACCTCCACCTATCACCTGTCTGGTTTAGATATGTTCCAACACTGCAAAACAAAACAAGAGGAAACAATTAAAAAGTCCTACTCTTTCAAAAGGTCACCAACACATGTACATTCTCAGCCAAGCTTTCATTCTACATACCTCGCTCTCCTCTTCCACCCAGGCTCCCAAGTAGATCTCAACTCCAACTCCGCCCGTACTACCCCACTTCACTGTAGCCTCCTTCCTTCACCCCAGCAACCCCGCCCTAGTCCTTCCAATCGCGCTCCCAGCGTGCAGGTGGGGAGCTCAGCCCCGCCCAGAAGGACCCCAGACCGGGCGCCACTCCAGCTACCCTGCTCCGCCCGCGACCGCACGAGCCCTACCCAGCAGAAGCCACTCCCTCGGCTCCCTCTCCCAGCATCTCGGGCCCCACCCCCAAGTTCCCTTCCCCTTCCCCCTCCCGCGACCCCTACCTCCAAGTTGCCCCCTAATTTCCGCCCAGTTCAGCCTCTCACCACTCCAGTAGCAAGCCGGAGTCCAACAGCTGCTTCCCGCCCTCATATCGGCCTCTGCCTCAAAGCCTAGCTTTCCACCCTGGGGGGGGGATTGGCCCCGGGCCTCCCCAGTGGACTGCAGGGGCCTAGACTGTGTGTGTGGAGGGGTGACAGGGGAAGGCAATGGGCCTCTCGGGAGTGCGTTAACAGTGTGAGAAGCGGTCTCTACCCGCTGCCCCATCCTGGGTCCACCCCCAACCCCCTACGACCTCTCTAGGCTGCTCCCACTGTACCTGTGATGGAAGCGGCAGCGGGAATAGCCGCTCTCCCCTCTCCTCACACAGACAATATGGCGGCGGCGGAGGAGGAGACACACGGCTCGGCAGCCAGCCGCAGGGACCAGAGCGAGGCTGCAGCCTCCGCTGCCGGAAGCGGAAGCCCCTCCTACCCGGCGGCGGGGCGGGAGCGCTTCTGACTCCGCCTCCATCTGAATCCTGTTGAGCGCCGCCATGCTGGGATTTTCTACTGCATTCCTGGGGTTTTGGTTGGTTCTGTTCCAGTCTGGGGCGCAAGATGGAAAGGATTCTCGACGCAGAGCATGATAATCAGACTTCCTATAGCTAAGCTAATTTTACTTCTGTGTCTGTGCTAACCTACGAGTGAGAGAACACGAACCACCCACCAATCATGAAATTGGTTTGATCCAAATTAAGATGGCGGTCCCTATAGTTCCCGTAATTCTCTCAACTGGCAAGTCCCAGCAGCCCACGAGTCGTCCCCTCTTTCTTGAAAAGTAGCATGAGCGACCTGCGGAGTGAAGCATTCTGGGAATTGAAGTCTGTCTTCCTCAAACCCTTCAACTAGAATTAGGATTCCAGCAGCACTTTTGTCCTCGAACTTTGAGTTTGAAACAAGTGGACGAAAGTTTTGTCCCAGGAAGGGTGTGGTGCAGTTACTTACTGGATACTTTACTGTTACTGTATAATTTGTGTGTTCATTGAACTAGTTCAGGATCTTTGCTCTCCAGATCTCCTCCTTTCTCTCTTGAGCTCCCCCAAACCCAGGCACTATTACTCAGCAGCCTGAGGCAGCTTAGTCAACCTTCTCTGAGTGACAGTGAGTCCCTGGCAGACAGGGCTGGACGTGATGATCCCCTTTCCCCTGCCAGCCCTGCTAGGAGTTGGTGTGTAAGTATTGCTGAGAGGAATTCAAGCGTTAGCCTCACCTCTGATAGGGCAGAGGTGTGAAGGTTGGAACACGGGTAAGGAGGCTGGGTTATTTCTGTACCAGCCATTATTCCCAGCTGCCTCAGAATAGCTGCCTGTTCCAAGGATTGGTCTCTCCACCCTCTACAGTCCTCTTTTCTCAGTTTATCAGCTGATTGGCACCTCTGCTCCCAAAGAGACAACCTCCTCCCCTGTGGGATGGAAGTAGTAGTGGCTGCATACATATAGTGATGGCCTCGGGGAAGTGGCCATGAGATTTTCGAGCCTCATCTGCCAGAAAGTTCTGGAGTTTTGATCCCAATTGCCTGAATATCCATAGTAGTTGTTCTCTGGGTGTCCCCAAGCTAGTCATTCCTCTTCCCCCAGCCTCATTTTCCCTATGAACTAAAGAGCTTGGACAAGGTGATCCAAGATTTCTTTGAAACCCTTTTCCAGGAAATGACTGGCCTTCCACCCATCTCTTGGACCGTGTCTTTTTGTCTTTCATGGCTTCCTTTTTTTCACTTTGCTTCACATGTGTTCAATTCATAGCTATTGACCACTTGATACAACTGTGCTAGTTAGTAAAGATGTGGTATAAACCAGACAGATACTAATTCCTCATTGGTGGAACTCATTTCCTAAACAGTGCACAGGTGCAGAGGTAAGCCAATGAATCAGCAATTTCACACAGCGATAAGTGCTCTAAAGGGATAAGATAAGCAGTTATAAAATAGAATAAAAGCTTCAGATAGCTCTAAGTGCTATGAGGAAAAAGCTAAGTAGGTTTGAAATAGAGAACTTCTGCTTAAGTGGCTCAGAAGCTCCCTCTGGGAAGAGAATACCATGTACAAGGTCCCAAGGCAGGAAAAAGCTTGCTAAGTTTGAAGGAAGCCATGATGGCTAAAGCACCATAAGTAAGGAGGAAAAGGGGGAAGAGGTGGGCAGGTCACTCAGGCCACAGTAAGGAAGCTGGATTTTCACCTGAGGGGTGAGGACTTTCTATGGCTTAGCTCTCACGCCTTTCTCAACCTCTCCTATAGTATCTGTTCTTCCTTTGCCTCTCCAGTTTTGGCCTCAGTCAATAAGCTCATTCAGAGAACTCACCTGGCCCACGTTGCCAACCCTTCATACCCATGAAGAACACAGCTGATGCCCAAGGTCTGCCACTCCCAGGCCACAGATATAGACTAAATCCCCACTGTCCATTTTATTATGGACTTAATACTTATTTTTAATGCTCACTCTCTCCAGCTTCCACCCTCCCAGCCTTCCTTCAAATTAACAGTAGCAGCAGCAGTAGCAGTCAAGATGCTCAGAGCACTTGCCCTGTGCCAAACATGGACTGTTCATCACCTCTTTTAATCCTCTTCATTTTGATGAGGTAGAATCCAAAGTATCTCATCCTACTGATAAGGAAACTGAGGTTCAGAGACACCACATGGAACTTGCCTTCCAACTGGAGCCATTAAAATTTCAGTAAGAAAAATACTGAAGAGGGGAAGGGGGAGCTTTGACTTTCAAAACTTGGAATTTTGTCTTGTTTTCTTCTGGGACTACTGGATATTTGAGGCACAGAGCCACTGGACTAAGCCCCATCCCCAGACATTTCTTTACTTTTTATTTTGGAACAAAGTCTCATAAAGTCACACTAAATTGTTCAGGCTGGGCTCAGACCCAGAGTCCTGGGATTACAGGTGTGAACCACCATGGCCGATTTTCTTACTTGTTAGCACTCTCTTCTCTCCCTCCCTCCCTCTCCCTCTCCTTCTTTCTTCCTCTTCTTTCTTGTTTTTTTTTTGGGGGGGGGTACGGGGATTGAACTCAGGTCCTTGCACTTGCAAGGCAGGACACCGAACCGCTGGGCTAAATCCCCAGCCCTTCTTCCTCTTCTTCCTGAAGCAAAACCTTTATTGCTACATTTTAGATATACATAATGATAACATTCATCATAGGGAATTTATACTTACACATGATATGTTTTGATGCTTCTTTTGTTTTCCCCATGCCCCCTTTGACCCCTCTCCCTCTCGTTTATTAGCATTGTTTCCATTTTTCCTTCTATTCTCTTTTTTCGCTGTTGCTTCTTTCCTCCCCACTCCACCCTTGTTCCTTTTTTCATTTGAACATTTTCTTCTCATCTCCCAAAGTCTGTTATACATTTTGAATCTTATTTCCACTTTCAGTTTCTCACACTAGAGAAAGAATGTGGTATTTAAACATGCATATCCAATTTATTTCACTTAAGAGTGTGGTCTCTATTGTATGCCTAAAGTGTACTAATAAAAAATGGGAAAAAGAGTGTGGTCTCAAGGTTCATCTATTTACCTAGAAAGGCCTCAAGCCTCTCCTTCTTTATGGCGGAGTAGTACTCCATTGAATTAAACACACACACGCACGCACGCACACACGCGCACACACACACTACATCTTCTTTACCCATTCGTGAGTTGGGCATTTGGGCTGTTTCCAGGATGTAGCTATTACAAACTGTCCTGCTATAAACATGGGTGTGCATATACCATGGTGGTATGATATGTGATGCTTTTCATTTTTTCTTTCAGGAAGATACCAAGGGGAATAGCTGGGTCAAATAGAACCCCTAGTTTTAGTTTTTTGAGGAATCTCCACACTGCTTTCCACCGTGGTTGCACCAGTCTACACTCCCAGCAACAGTGGCGAAGGATTCCTTTTCCCCCACAGCCCCACCAGCATTTGTTACTGATAATAGCCCTTCTTTCTGGGTTGGGATGTAATCTCAGTGTTGTTTTAATTTGCATCTCTTGTATGACCAGTGATGTTGAACATTTTTCCATGTGTTTATTTGCGATTTCTACTTCTCCATCTGAGAAGTTTCTGTTCATTTCAGATGCCCATTTTGGGACTTGGTCTTTAAATTTGAGGGATCTGATTGTTTTGTGTTCTTTATGTAGTCTAGATATTAATCCTTTGAGAAGTAGCTGGCAAAACTTTTTTCCCCACACTGGGTTTTCTTTTCACTCTGTTGGTGGTTTCTTTGTTGTGCAAAAGCTTTTTAATAAGATGAGATCCCATTTGTTGATTCTTTGTGATATTTTCTATGCAATGGGTTTTGTTTTTAAAGTCTTAGGCTAACCCAGTGTCTTCAAGAATTTGACCTATTCTGTCCTCCAGCAGAGGACATTTTTGTTTTTATATTTAGATCTTTGATCCATTGACTTTAATTGAGTGCATGGTGAAAGATATAGGTCTGGGCCGGGCATAGTGGCACAAGCCTGTAATCCCAGCACTTGGGAGGCTGAGGCAGGAGGATCGCTGTGAGTTTGAGACCAGCCTGGGCTGCATAAGTGAGTTCCAGGTCAGTCTCAACTACATAGTGAGACCCTGTCTCAAAAAAACAAACAAACATAGAAAAAAGGGTCGTTTTAATCTTTGGCATGTGGAAAGCCAGTTTTTCCAACACCATTTATTGATTTTTTTCATTTATTTGTTTTGATACTGGGGATTCAACTTGGGACCTTGTGCTTGCGAGGCAGGTACCAGCACCACTCAGCTAAATCCCCAGCCCTCCAGCACCATTTATTAAAGAGGCTATCTTTCTTCTGATGAGGGTGTCTGACTCCTTTATCAAAAATAAGGATGAGCTGGGCCAAGGATTTAGCTCAGTGGCACCACGCCTGCCTCACAAGCACAAGGTCCTGAGTTCGATCCCCAGTACAAAAAAAAAAAGCCTCTTAACCTGTAAAAAACACATTCTCTGTTCTACTCACACAGAAAGGTCCCTCTCAGGTTTTGCAAAGATAAGAACGAACTAAATCCCTGGCCCTTCATTGTTAAGATTGATTCCTAGATATTTCATTTTTGGGGGTGCTATTGTGAAAGGCATAGTTTCCCTAATTTCTCTCTTAATAGGTTTATTATTTGTACAGGAATGCTATTGATTTTTTTCTTTTTTCTTTTTTTTTGGTATGAGGGATCAAACTTGGGACCTTGCATTTTCCAAGCAGGTGGCAGAACCACTGAACTAAAACCCGGGCTCTGCTATTGATTTTTAATTGTTTACTTTGTATCCAGCTATGCTACTGAATTTGGTTACTAAATCTGGAAGTCTTTTGGTGGATTTTTGGGGTCTCCTGTGTAGAGTATTATGTCATCTGCAAATTGCAATAATTTAACTTCTTACTTTTCTATACGTATTTCTTTTCTTTCTTTTTTTTTTTTTTTTTAAATTGCACTGGCTA